GGGGGCCCTCTGGCCGCAACTGCTGGGGTGGCGCTGCCGGCGCACAGCACAACCCCTCCCCAGGGCCGTCCATACGCGAGCAGCAAGTACAGCGGCGCACGGGAGGTGCTCTGTTGCAGTCGGACGAGAATGAGCCTGGCGCTGAGGGACCGGGATGAGGGAGGGGCGCCTGGCTGTTGTCGGGCATTCGGAAGCATATCACGGGGCGCCGAGCCCCACGGGGCGTAAGTGATACCGGGGAGCCGTGTATATTGCCGGACTGCCGGACTTTTTGTACGTGGCGTGGAATTTAATTTGATTCTTCGTCAAAATGTTATTCGACGCCAGTCAACCCGCGTAAACTCTCATAGTGGCGCTGTGTAACGTTGTATGCGACTAATTCTGAATTAATTGCGTACATTTTAGGGGAATGCTTTGTTTCTAAAGACGAGGACGTCAGTAGTAGTAAGACTGATAAATTTCGACCGCCTTCACACAGATGTGGTCCACACGTAGTAGTTCCTCACAAGCAGCAGCAGGTGTGTGTCGCATTGTGCTTCTCGCACTTGGAATGGCAGGGTGCCGTACGCACGCTTGTGAGTGGGGAAGGAGGGGGAGGGGGCGCTCCCAAACAGGTCTTATCGTATGCATTGCCTCCTTTCGGGATTAATGGCTTTAGTTTCCGCGTGTCTTATGATTTGCATAGCAGAGCGGATGCGGCAAATAGGCCGGGCGCAGGAGGGAGAGGGGGGGGGGGGACTAAAGCGAGACACGTCGCCCGCTGTACCTGCGCGCACCGCCTCCCGTGAGTAATCGAGTTTGGAGACCGATAAACGGACGCGATGCGCATTTGTCGTCGAGTGAGTTTCACGTCCCCCGCGCCAGTCTCGAGAGGCGCGAGTTGCTATGCGGGTGCGCTAAAGTTTCGTACTCGATGAAAGGACGTCTTCGTGCGCGTTGCCGTTCGTTGCAAAGGGTACCGAGTGCGTGCCGCTGCCGCCGGTGGTCTTTTATTCATCAATAATGCCCCCCCGACACTATTAAAGGGCCGGTGCCGCCGGAGTCGCCGGGCGCGCGGGGGGATCAATTTC